AGTCAGTTCACTTAGTAGCCTTAAAAGTACATGTTGCAATTTGTTTATCATGGAGAATTACCCGATATTGCATATTGCTTGAAATTTTATGTCTCGTGAAAGCTTTAGTGAAATTTGAATAACCATGCTATCTGCTTTAGGCTAAAACCGTCAGGGTATTTACCCATTATGAATCAATTTTAATTTTAATGCATTCGTGGGGATGATGTTCTAGGAAGTGTAAAATCCAAAAAACATGGGTTTTAGGATAACATAGAACTGAGTTTTAATCTCAGCGCTGCCACTTACTAGCTGTATGACCTTAAACAAGTTCTAGTTCCATCTCTTCTCTCAGCTTCACTTTTGTGAATTATAAAATGGGGAAAATAATAACACTTTCATCATTAGATTTTTATGACGATTAAGAAAATGCAGGCAAAGCATTTATTACTTAACGTTTGGGGCATAATAATTGCTCAATACATGTTTATTAAATTTTATGTATATTATAATAATATATACTTTTTGTGTGAGGAAGATTAGCCCTGAGCTAACATCTGTTGCCAATCCTCCTCTTTTTGCCGAGGAAGGTTGGCCCTGAGCTAACATCTGCGTCCATCTTCCTCTATTATATATGTGGGACGCCTGCCACAGCATGGCTTGATAAGCAACGCGTAGGTCTGTGCCCACGATCCGAACTCGTGAACCCCAGGCCACCGCAGTGGAGTGCGCGAACTTAACCACGACACCACCGGGCCAGCCCCTACATGTTATTTTTTATGTAATCCAGAACACTGGGGAATTGTATAACATATCATTTTACCCCCTCATTTTCTGATATGTGCTTTTTCTTTTTTTTTATAATTTTGTTTATTTATTTATTTTCCCCCCAAAGCCCCAGTAGATAGTTGTATGTCATAGCTGCACATCCTTCTAGTTACTGTATGTGGGACACGACCTCAGCGTGGCTGAAGAAGCGGTGCGTCAGTGCGCACCCGGGATCCGAACCCGGGCCGCCAGCAGCAGAGCACGCTGATATGTGCTTTTTCTGAGTTAAGTTTTAGCCATTGGCCTATACTGAGGGTTGTTACAAAACAGCTGTTTGAAACTTACCATGTATGATCAGGAAGAGTTGTTGAGGATTTTATGTTTCATAGCATCCTTTCTATAAAGACCTTGGGGGAAATAGTTCTTTCAGGTCTCAGTCTAAGGCATTAATGTCTCTTTTCCAAGCATTGGGTTTGTGTTTATGTCTTAAATTGTGTAACAGATTGTGTTTCCTTTTTTTGAATTGCTGTTGAAGAACTCAGATCCAAGCTTGCAGCCCTTGGTTAGCAAAGTAGACTGAATTTTGTGACATATATTTTATATACTAATCTTAACCTTCATTTCTCTCCCCACCTCATCCTTATGTTCTCTTCCTCTCCAGTTTCCTCATATAATTTTTATCTTGTTTTTGCTACATCTTTGTAAGAGACTGCAAATACTTTCTGAATGAGAAACATAGATAAATATAATTAGAATAAAAATGCTTGTGTGTAAAATAAATCTTTAAATCTTAGGAACATACTTGACCAAAAGAAATAATTGTTGATAATTTCATTTGATTCGTTTTTTGGTCATTGTGTAAAGCTAGTTTGGATTAAAATGCTTTACATGATTTCTGCCATGGGTGGCTGTACAATGTCACTGATCTCCCATGGGTCAATGCTTGTACGCTCTTTCATATCAAGCACATAACTATATGTGTTGTTGATCTTGCCCAGTAGTTTTCTAGAGATAATTGACATGTTTCTCTGTATAAATGAGTGAGCCGGGTTGAGGTTTTAGAGTGCCACAAAACTGCAGAAATGGAGTATCAAAAGGCTTGAGGAGCTGGCCTGGTGGCGCAAGCAGTTAAGTGTGCGTGCTCCACTGCGGCGGCCCGGGGTTCGCCAGTTCGGATCCCGGGCACGCACCGATGCGCTGCTTAGCAAGCCATGCTGTGGCAGCGTCCCATATAAAGTGGAGGAAGATGGGCACAAATGTTAGCCCAGGGCCAGTCTTCCTCAGCAAAAAAAGAGGAGGATTGGCAGATGTTAGCACAGGGCTGATCTCCTCACAAAAAGAAAAAAAAAGGCTTGACTACTAAGGCCTCCTTCATGAGGAAAAGTGAGGTTAAGGTGACAGGGCAGATTGTGGTGGAATGTGGATATGGAAAAGTTGGGAGAAGAGCTCATAAAACAGGCAGGAAATGTATAACCAGAGACATCAAACAATTGGATTTTTTGTTTGGTGTTGGTTGAGGTTCAATTGGGAATATTTTGAGATTTTTGTATTGTTTCAGTAGTTACAAAGTATTTTATTTTGTGTCTGTCTACAGTGATTCTGTTATCTCCTGGACTTGCAAACTCATATCTCAAATATTGAAAACTATTATTTTTCCCTAATTCTAATTTCCTTCCCTCAAAATCAAATCAGTTATCAAACCCTATTGCATCTTCCTTTGAATCCCCATTAGTCAAATTAGAGGCTATAGGAAATGTGTTTAAAATCCTTTTTATCTCCAAAAGTCTGCAGGTCTCTGTCCATAATTTCCATTCTTCTTGCTTGGATTCAGTGGACTGTTAAGAGTTCTTCATGTTTGGCCTTGTACTTCTCAAATTCATTCCTATACCTCATCAGCAAGTGAGCCTATTCTATTGCCTTCATGGATGGCTATCTGTTGCCTACAAGATTGTCTACATTTCTTGGGCAGGCACTCAGAGTACTTTGTATTGTTGTTCTAGTCTACATTTTCGGCCTTATTGCTTGCTATTTCCTTGTGTAGACTCTTTCTTGTTGCCCTAATTTCTGTCTTCCCAACACAATGCTCATAAAGATTACTAATGATGATCCAGCCTCTCAAGTGATATATTATTAGGCTGAGTTAGTTTTGTTTTTCTTTTTATTGATGTCTTAATAGGTTATAACATTGTGAAATTTTGGTTGTACGTTATTGTCAGTCAGTCACCATATAAATGCCTCCCTTCACCCCTTGTGCCCACCCCCCAACCCTCTTGGCCCTGGTCACCACCATTACAATTCTCTCTGTCCGTGTGTTGGTTTATATTCCACATATAAGTGAAATCCTGCGGTGTTTGTTTTTCTCTCTCTGGCTTATTTTGCTTAACATAATACCCTCCAGGTCCATAGGATGAGTTAGTTTTTTTTTTGTTTTTTTTGTTTTTTTTTTTTATGTGTGAGGAAGATCAGCCCTGAGCTAACATCCATGCTAATCCCCCTCTTTTTGCTGAGGAAGACCGGCCCTGAGCTAACATCTATTGCCAATCCTCCTCCTTTTTTTTTTTCCCCAAAGCCCCAGTAGATAGTTGTATGTCATAGTTGCACATCCTTCTAGTTGCTGTATGTGGGACACGGCCTCAGCATAGCGGGAGAAGTGGTGCGTTGGTGCACGCCCGAGATCCGAACCTGGGCTGCCAGTAGTGGAGCACACGCACTTAACCACTAAGCCACAGGGCCGGCCTGGGATGAGTTAGTTTTAATTGCAGTAGTGGTAGTCTCAGAAGGTGGAATTTCCTTTTAGTTCTCTTATTTTAAGTTGCTCAGAAGTAATAGAGTTTTCCTTAAGAATTTTAGATATTCCAGTAATAATACCTTGTACCTTGAGGACTTTAGGACTAAAGAAGAGTAGTCTATAAATTATGTCTGGCATAGACATACTCAAATAATGTTAGCTGCTAGTATAATTTCTCAGCGTTTTTTGGCTGGAATTTAACATTTAATACTGTAACTCTGTTTTTTGACATCCAGAATGCATTTATATGCCTCGCATTTCCTTGTATTTTATATTTGAGCATTTAAAGAATAATTCCTATTTTGAATTTATGACAGAGATTCTGCAGTCAAAATTCATCATCAACACTGGATAGACTACTAAACAAGTAATTTTAAGTCTTACTGAAGGGAATTTTAAGCCTTCCAGTAGGTATGACTCCTGTGGTCAGATTATAATCAGCTATCTTTTAGTAATAAGTACAAATATTATTAAAGTTGTACAGAGAGTAGTAAGTAACACTTGTATTGTTGATATGTTTTCCTGCCTTGCAACATATATCATGGTGGCATAACGACTGTTTCCAGGGCCGGCCCCGTGGCTTAGCGGTTAAGTGCGCGCACTCTGCTGCTGGTGGCCCGGGTTTGGATCCTGGGCGCGCACCGACGCACCGCTTCTCCAGCCATGCTGAGGCCGCGTCCCACATACAGCAGCTAGAAGGATGTGCACCTACGACATACAGCTATCTACTGGGACTTTGGGGGAAAAGAAAGAAATAAATAAAATTATTAAAAAAAAAAAAATGTTTCCAAATGGGGAAATATATCATGTAGAAGCCTATTTATCTATTATTTTTAATTATGTATTTTGTTATAGTATTGCATTTTTTTTTTGGTATGATGATTTTTTTCACCACTAGAATAATCCTAGATGGTTGTTTTTAATTTTTATACCATGAGAAGAAACCATGTAGAGTCCATATCGAAACCATGTAGAGTCCATATGAAGTTTAGAATTATAATATTCAAAAATGAGTCACAATAAAGACATATATGTGCATATATATAGATTAGTAATTAAGGCACAGCCATATCAATGATAAAGAACAATGCTATCTGAAACAAAAACAAGTAGCAAGTAATAGCTTTTCCTTGTAGCAGTTTTTCCCTTTGAGTTACTAACTTGATATGGGATTGTGTCTTATTTATGCATCACAAATACATATTCTGTTTATGGCTATATAGTATAAATAGCAAATGCTAGTGGTTAATAAAGTTTATTATTTTCTGATATATTTCATATATGACGTAGTTTTTTGAATAAAAGTTTATACATGTGAACAAAAAGATGCTGCATTCTAAATGTATATCAATATTTCAGCCTTTTCTAAAAAAGTTATTAAAATGATTTAAAAATGCTAATTACATAAATGCTGTACTTTGTTTTTATAGAACTTTTCACCCATAATTTTCTTTTTCTTTTAAAGATCAGTGGATAAGTCTGTCATAGTGTATGATACTGTAAGTATTTCAAAATCTTGTGTGTGTGATCTGTGTAAATTATGTTTGTTAAGTTTAGTTAGGCAAGATGAAAAAAATGTATATGTTTTTTCTGTTTAGGGTGCCCAAGAATATAATGTTTACATTTTCAGAAATGCTAAAATAGTTGTGCAAGTAAGATATCAGTTTTGATATCTTTATTGAAATATTATTAAATATTTCAATAATGATTTTAAGATGGACAGATGTTTAATCTGATCAAAGAAAATACAGATTTAAAGAGCACCAATATCCAAAAAATTACTTTAAATCAATTATTCTTAAACTTTTACACCAGGTTTCCATAACAGTAAAGGATGAATGTTTACCCCAGGGTTTTGGGAGGATATAACTGAAAGTGGCTGTTAGAGTCCTGGCTGGATTTAGGGACTAGTACAAGGAAGAGTGGGTTATAATGGATTTAGGAAATGGGAGTTTTTGTTAGATCCGTGTAAATAAAGACCAAGTTGAACGAATATGAAAAATAAATGTTTTACATATAGTCACACGCCGCCTAACGATGTTTCGGTCAACCACAGACTGTGTATACAATGGAGGTCCCATAAGATTAGTACCATATAGCCTAGGTGTGTAGTAGGCTATACCATTTGGGTCTGTGTAAGTAGACTCTTACGATGTTCACACAACAATGAAATCACCTAACGATGCATTTCTCAGAATATATCCCAGTCGTTAAGCGACACATGACTGTATAGGGAAGATGTAGTTGACAAAGATATTCTCCAAGAGAAATCAGTGTTGAGTGGAGCCTTATAATGATTGAGTTCACGCTGTAGCTATGCCGGCAAATAAAATGGAGATGTAAATTATCAAACTGTAGTGGGTCAAGCAAGGAATCTAAACTAGTCCTCTACACAGAAGATCAAGTCATTGAGAGTTCTGGCAGGAAATGGGAAAGAATACTCAAACTAGGTGAAGTGGAGCCTTAATATTTCTCATGAGATTTTCTTGAGGTTTTACATTCACAAAAACAGCTATAACATTAAATTTTCTCCATAAAATATGTATGTGAGTCTCAGTTAAATACATCTAGATGCTGGGTGGCCAGCTAAAGGTACTCAAAATCTAAATGACTAATTTCTATTCACTGGTCCTGCAATGGGTACAAGTCAAATGCCATAGCAAAAATACAAATTATTTCATGTAATAGACATTTAGGTTACTATTAGTAAGCTCAAACAAATCAGCAAAAGCTGCGAGTCTGTTATACTAAAAATTTCTAGGAAGGTAGTCAGTAGACAGTAGTGCTGAAAACTGAGAAAGAGTGAAATAAGTACTTGATAATAATATTAGTTATAGATGCTATTCTCTATTCATTGGGTAAAGTTTCAAGATGTATTAGTGACTAATAATAATATTAAAATACATAGAGCATATAAATCATTTATGTGCTATATAATGAAATGAATTTTATCAGTAACTTTACTCTTGCCTAAGTAAATCTAAAGCTGTTTTTCTTGTTTTTCAGAATACTGAGAATATACTTTACACATTGACTCAGCACACCAGGTCTGAACTTAACCTCACTCTGTATTAATATAATTTTAAAAAGTCTGAGGATACATAATAGTTGTTTTTATTAACTAGGTATGTCACAACTTGTGCCTTTGCACCCAATATCCTTTTACTTGCTACTGGTTCAATGGACAAAACAGTGAACATCTGGCAATTTGACCCGGAAACACTTTGCCAAGGTTAGTAAGGACATCATGTGTAACCCAGTTCAACTCCATTCACCATTAAAATCAGAAATTCAGTAATTTTTTGACAAATTATTCACATTGCTTTTCTCACAATAAAGTATACATCCAAATTTAATATAATTTAAAAATAATTTTAGAGAAACGAGTCTTAAAAAGTAGTTGACCTATGTTAAAACTGTTGGTAAATGCTTTTGGGTGCACATTCACATATATCACACCTCTATTGATTTTGTAAGCTCTTTATTTATACTCTGTACTAATTTTTCAGATAATTATAGCCTGAGAACAAAATAGAAATTATAGTTTTATTTTGTTGGTTTTATTTTTGGCCTTGTCAAGCGATATTGCCACATAATTTAGGAGTTTTATTTGTGTCAGAATTAACCAAATAGTGGTGCTGATATGCAGATGATAGAGCAAATAGAATACTTTTGCTGATATGAATTTTATGTAATAAAGAAAAATTGTTTTTCTGGAGTGAAAAATAAAAAGTTCCAAAAGAGTAGTATTTAATTTAGTGTTAAATAATACGTTAATTATACATAGTATTATTTGATTTTTTGAAATTTCTTAAAAGCGTGTTAAAGTAGTAAAACACAGATTTAAGGAAATTGCATTTGCTTTTTAATTCAAAGTGAGAATGTTTATAGAGGAAATACTTTTTCTTTTGTTATTCCACTTGCCTTTTTGTGTGGGTTTTTTGTTTGTTTTTTAAGCAAGGAGTGCAGAAGATCAACCGAAGCAATTTATTGAAGATTGGTCAGAGGACGATGTCTCAACCTGGCTCTGTGCACAAGATTTAAAAGACCTTGTTGGTATTTTCAAAATGAACAACATTGATGGAAGAGAACTGTTGAATCTTACAAAAGAAAGTCTGGCTGATGATTTGAAAGTTGGTAAGATTAGTTGAAACATAGGCAGTCTTAAAAACCACTTTTAATAATTTACTGTGAGATTGGTTTTAGTTGCATTATGGTTTCCTCTTAATATTCTAACAGTAATTATTCTAGTATATGTCTTTGTATAGAAGGACAGTATATTTTTATTAGATTATGGAAAAGAAATGTTATGTAGCATTTCTTTAGGTAACTAAAGCCACCATTTAACTGTAATTTTAAAAATATACATATTTTTACATATTTTTTAAATTGAGATGTAGTTCACATATGATAAAACTCACTCTTTTATAAGTGTACAATGCAGTGATTTTTAGAATATTCACAGAATTGTACAACCATCACCACTATCGAATTCCAAAACCTTTTTCTCACTTCAAAAAGAAACCCCATGCCCATTAGCAGCCACTCCTTATTCCCTTTCTCTCTAGCCCCTGACAACCACTAATCTACTTTCCGTTTTTAAAGATTTGCCTATTCTTGACATTTCATCCAAATGGAATCAAACAATATATGGCCTTTTGTGTCTGGCTTCTTTTATTTAGCGTGTTTTCAAGGTTCATGCATGTTGTAGCATATATTATTACTTCATTTATTTTTATGATTGAATAATATTCTGTTGTATGAATTTATCATTTTTTGTTTATCCATTCATCAGTTGCTTAAATTTAGATATTTCCATTTTTTAGCTACTACGAATGATGCTTCTATGAACATTGATGTACAAATTTTTGTGTGGGTATCTGTTTCCAGTTTTCTTTTCTTTCTTTTTTTTTTTTTTTTTGGTGAGGAAGATTAGCCCTGAGCTAACATCCATGCCAATCCTCCTCTTTTTGCTGAGGAAGACCGGCCCTGAGCTAACATCTATTGCCAATCCTCCTCCTTTTTTTCCCCAAAGCCCCAGTAGATAGTTGTATGTCATAGTTGCACATCCTTCTAGTTGCTGTATGTGGGACGCGGCCTCAGCATGGCCAGAAAAGCGGTGTGTTGGTGCGCGCCCGGGATCCGAACCCGGGCCGCCAGTAGCGGAGCACGCGCACTTAACTGCTAAGCCACGGGGCTGGCCCTGTTTCCAGTTTTCTTGGGTGTATAATTAGGAGTGGAATTGGTGGGTCATATGGTAACTCTATGCTTACATTTGAGGAACTGCCAGACTGTTTTCCCAAGCAGCTGTGCTATTTTACTTTCTTATCAGCAGTGTATGAGAATTCCAGTTCTTCATCAACACTTGTTTGCTTTTTAAATTATAGCCATCCTACTGGTTTCTCATTGTGGTTTTAATATGCATTTCCCTGTTGACTAGTGATGCTAAACATCTGTTCATGTGCTTGTTAGCCATTTGTGTATGTTCTTTGGAGAAATGTTGATTCAGATCTTTTGCCCATTTTAAAAAGCGGGTTGTCTTTTTGCTGTTGAGTTGTTTATATAAATTTGGATATTAGACTTTTATCAGATATATGATTTGTAAATATTTTTCCCATTCTGTGGGTTAACTTTACACCTTCTTGTTAGTGTCTTTTGAGGCATGAAAGTTTTAAATTTTGATGAAGTCCAATTTATCTGTTTTTTTTTTTCCTATTGTTGCTTGTGCTGTAGGTGTCATATCTAAGAAACCAGTGCCTAATCCCAAGTCTTGAAGATATACACCTGTGTTTTCTTCTATGCCTTCTATAGTTTTAGCTCTTACATTTAGGTGTTTGATCAACTTTGACTTAATTTTTATATATGATGTGAGGTAGGAGTCTAGCTTAATTCTTTCAGATGTGGATGTCCAGTTGTCCCTGCACCATTTGATGAAAAGACTATTCTTTCTCCTTTGAATTGTCTTGACACTCTTCTTGAAAATCAGTTGACCATAAATTTGAGGATTTATTTCTGGACTCTCAATTCTATTTCATTGATCTACTTGTCTATCCTTATGCTAGTTCCACATGGTCTTAATTACTGTAGCTTTGTAGTAAGTTTTGAAATTAAAAAGTGTGCCCTCTATCTCCCCCCCCCCCCAAGATTGGTTTCGCTATTCTGGATTCCTTGTATTTCCATATGAATTTTAGGATCAACTTATCAATTTTTGTAAAACAGCCACTTGATTTTGATGGGGAATGTATTGAATCTGTAGATCAGTTTGGGGATTATTGACATCTTAATAAAATGAGTCTTCCAATTCATAAGCACCAGATGTTTTTCTGTTTATTCAGGTCTTCTTAATTTCTTTCAACAATGCTTTGTAATTTTCAGTGTATAAGTCATTTTTTCCTAAGTGTACAGTTCAGTGGTTTTTAGTTTAGTCATAGAGTTGTACAACCATCATGACTATCTAATTTCAGAACATTTTTATCTCCCCAAAAGAACCCCATTCTCTCCTCTCCCTAGCCTCTGGCATCCACTAATCTACTTTCTATCTCTATGGATTTGCCTATTTGGAACATTTCTTATAAGTGGCACTGTACAATGTGTGGCCTTTTTTATTGGCTTCTTTTATTTAACAGTGCTTTCAGGGTTCATCCATGTTTTTGTATGTTTAAGTATTTCATTCCTTTTTTTTTTTTTTAACTTAAAAAAAGTCTTTTTATTGAAGTATAGCAAATGTAAAGAAGAAAGTACAGTCTTTTGTAAAAAGCTAAATGAATTATCAAAAATTAATACAACTTGGGGGCCGGCCCGGTGGTGTAGTGGTTAAGCGCATGCCCTCCGCTCCGGCAGCCCAGGGTTTGCAGGTTCGGATCCTGGGCATGCACCAATGCACTGCTTGTCAAGCCATGGTGTGGTGGCGTCCCATATAAAGTAGAGGATGATGGGCACGGATGTTAGCTCAGAGCTAATCTTCCTCACCAAAAGAAAAAAAAATTAATACAACTGTGTAACCACCACAAAAATTAAGAAAAATAATAATATCAAGACCACAGAAGCCTAACCACCTTCTTCTTCCAAGTAACTAATTTTTTTTAAAAGGTGAAATGTGACTTTTCTTTATTTTTCAAAATATTTCCCATTTTTCAGCTAAGTTCACATTCACTACACATCTCAGTATTCACATACTAGAGAACACTAATGTATCTCCATCATCTTTTCCAGTTTGGTTAAACTTTCAGAAAATTTTTCTTAATCTTTAACTGGAAGTGTTATATCAAAGATCAAAATCTAGGAAGAATTACAACGTTTAAGTACAGAAATTTAACATATCCCATAATTGTAACTAAGCTAAAGTTTTGTTTTTTGTTTTTTTTATTGAGGTAACATTGGTTTATAACATTATATAAATTTCAGGTGTACATCATATTTTGATTTCTGTGTAGATTACATCATGTTCACTGCCCAAAGACTAATAAACATCCATCACCATACACATGTGCCTAGTCTCCCATTTTGCCCTCCTCCCTCCCCCCGTCCCATCTGGTAACCACCAGTCTAATCTCTGTATCTATGTGTGTGTTTGTTGTTAGTACTTCATTCCTTTTTATGGCTGAATAATATTCCGTTGTATGGCTATACTACATTTTGTTTGTTCGTTCATCAGTTGATGGACATTTGAGTTGATTCTGTTTTTTGGCTATTATCAATAATACTGCTGTGAACATATAAGTTTTTGTGTGAATATATGTTGTCATTTTTCTTGGGTATATATTTAGGAGTAGAATAACTCTAAATTTAGCATTTTGAGGAACTGCCAGACTGTTTTCCAAAGCACTTGTACCATTTTACATTCCCACTAGCAATGTGTGAGGTTTCCATTTTCTTCACCTCTTTGTCAACACTTGTTATTACCTGTCGTCTTGATTACAGCCATCCTAGTAGATGCGAAGTGGTATTTCATTGTTGTTTTGATTTGCATTTACCTAATGATATGGAGCATCTTTTCAAGTGCTTCTTGGCCATTTATATGTCTTCTTTGGAGAAATGTTTGTTTAGATCCTTTACCCTTATTAAATTGGTTTGTCTTTTTATTGTTGAGTTGTAAGAATTCTTTATGTACTCTGGATACTAGATCCTTACCAAAAACAATCTGAAGTTTTAGTGTCATGCTCTAATAAACATAATAACCAGACACTATCATCAATATGCTTTAGTAAAATCTTAATTAACCAGAAAGCTTAGGAAATAGGATATCCATAGTGAGATTTATTGTAAATAAAGAGTCAAATAACAAAAAAATATTTGTTATAGAAAACCATTTTAAAGTATAGTGTTATATTTTCCTTATATAGTAAATATAATCTGTGAAGCTATTTAAATCTCTTGGAAGTTTATGGCCTTTTAAGAAGTTAACAGAATTATGATTTTGAAAAAATACTTAGGTTCAGATGGTTTTGTATTCAAGCCATACTGTGACAGTTATTTTTGTATCTCTAATAACTTATTTCCTTTATAATTTACTTTTTCCTCCTGAAAGTAGGTAATAGAGTGTAGGTTTTTTTTTTTTAAGTTCTGGTGAATTTAGCATCTTCATTAGTTGATTTCTCATTATTCTGTCACAATAAATCTTAACAGTACCTTATCACACAGAAGCACTTGACAATGTAAAATAATAATTTCAGATTTCAACAAAGGATGTTTGAAAACGTATAAGAGAAACAGTAAAAACAATAGGAATAGAATTCTATTCTGATAGCTAGATAAATAAAGAATAAGAAATTCTTACAGGATTCAATTAATGGCCTGCAACAGTTTGTTTTTGTTTGTTTTTTTTTGTGAGGAAGATCAGCTCTGAGCTAACATCCATGCCAATCCTCCTCTTTTTGCTGAGGAAGACCGTCCCTGAGCTAACATCTATTGCCAATCTTCCTCCTTTTTTTCCCTTTTTCTCCCAAAGCCCCAGTAGATAGTTGCATGTCGTAGTTGCACATCCTGCTAGTTGCTGTATGTGGGACGCTGCCTCAGCATGGCTGGACAAGCGGTGCGTCGGTACACGCCTGGGATCTGAACCTGGGCCGCCAGTAGCAGAGCGCACACAGTTAACCGCTAAGCCACGGGGCCAGCCCCTGCAATAGTTTTTGAAGGAT